GAGCCTGTCTGCTCCTCGTATTTACACTGGCCCGGTAAGAAATGGGCTGAGAGTACATGTTATAACCTCTCTCCCTCTGCATCCTGGCCAAGGTTAAGAAGTCAGGGAAATATTTTTTTTTATATAGGAACAACATCAAAGAGGTCTTCTGCATCTTCTCCCAGATCCATGATCTCTTTCATAAATGACTTTCTCGTTCATAGAGATGTGCAGCCCTTTGAAGTGCCTGATAGTAAACAAAGGCGCATCATTTACAAACACGACTGAAGCCAGAAATACCTTTCTGTGTCCTCTCTGTTTATCAATTCAGGTTTGCGAAACTGGAAGGAGAATTTCGCTGCCATCACTGACCTACTGAGGCAACTTTCGAGCTCAGAATGGAGCTGGTGAGCAGGCAGGACCCCCACCTCCGAGAGGTCGTGTGGTTTGCGGTGTGCTGCAGAGCCCTGACGCTTCTGCTGCAGGCAAGTCTCCTGTTCCTAAACCAAAGACACTGCGACATCTGTTGTTTGCTGCTCCGAGGCTTCTCTCTTCGGTACTGCCTTGCGCGCCGTGAGCTAGCTGGTTCTGCTTGATTGGGAAATCATCTTTTCCTTTGGAGAACCAGCTGCACCCAGGGAGGCAGGTTGCTGCTAAGTAAAATTACGTACGTTTCCTTGTAACTTTACAATGTTTTCACACCGCTGTTGCAAGAGGCTGGTTTGGCAGCACAAGAGGCTGAAGTCTCTGTTTACCCCTAGAAGAGGAAGAACAATCTCCTCCTGCACGTTCCTCCCAAGTCTCATTTCCAGAGACATCCTTCTCTGAGCGTGGGAGAGCTCGGTTGCTCACTCCACCCTACCTGTGCGTACCCAGCCAGCCAGCAAAGAGTCTAGCCGTAGCCGAGCGCCCCGAGAAAGCTCCTCCGCCCGCCGCCCGCCAGCCAGCTGGCAGGTTGTGGCAGCCCCAGTCTCCACTGGGTAGGGCTGAGTGGAACCATCAGCTGGGATGAAAGACTCCGTGTTACAAATGCCAGAAGCCTGGTTAGACCAGATGTGTGCTTGGTGGTAAAACGGCGGCTTTGTATGTCTTTTAGTCCCAATTTGTTCAGTGTGGCCTTTTTTCTCTGCCAACGCTGAATTTATTGCAGAGGACTCATCCCAGTCTCCATGTAGTTAAGCTACAAAACTTACCATCTGAGGGTTTTTGGGGGTTTGGGTTTTGTTAAAACATTTTTTCATTTGGAATTACATTACAATGCATTAAGTTGCATGCCTCCTATCTCATGAGCTCTCTGGGTTTTTCTCTCCCCTTTTAAAATGCGGTCAGCGCCTGGAGGCAGAGGTGTGTGCGTTCTGCTTGCTCATCTCCAGAAGGCGAACCCCTCAGTGCATGTCAAGCTGCAGAGGCGATGGAGTGATCTAGAGACTAGAGGGGGGGCCTGGGAATCAGCTGCCGTCTTCTGCGTCAGTTTGCTCTGGGAAAACCTTTTTCTCTAGTTCTGTCTCCTCTCCCTTGTACATCAGCTGGGATAATAATGCCAAATTCAGTAGAACAGGAGGCTTACCGGTGCTGCAGAGGTACCTGGAGCGAGCGTATGCAGTTAGATGTGCCTGAGCATGGGGCCGAGCAGCTTTCCCTGCCCAGTTCTGTGGGGATTCGTGCTGGATATATTCCAGAGCTTTATTCAGTTCAGATGTACATGCCCCAAAGATCGTGTTTGCACCTTTTCACAGTCTTACAGGTGACCGTGCTGCAAAGCCCCTCAGCCTGGCTTCCGTGCTGCTCTTGTCTTCTGCTTTGAAACCCAGGAGTCCACCTCCTGCTTGGTGCTTTCGGTAGGGTACGAGAGGATCTCTGCTGGACTTCAATCCTCTCTTCTTTTTCCAGGCTCTGTTTAACCTCCTGATCCCAGATCACGCTGCAGACGCCTTCTCTCCCCCTCGCCTGTCCGAGCCTGGCCTGTGGGACCTGCTGTTGGAGCGGCTGCTGGGAGGCCTCTCGCACTGGGATGCAGAGCACTTCCTCTTCATCGCCGAGCGCGGTTACCTGTACGAGCACAACTGCGCCTTCTTCCCGCTGTACCCCCTGAGCGTGCGTGCCGTGGCTGAGGGTGCTCTGTGGCCCTTGCAGCGGCTGCTGGGTTTGAGGAGCCGCCTCCTGCTCTCAGCCGTACTTCTTAATTCTCTCTTTTCCATCCTGGCAGCCGCTGTCCTGTATAAGCTGGGCTGCGTCGTGCTGCAGTGTCGTAGGGTGGCTTTCCTTGCTGCCGTTCTCTTTTCTGTCAGCCCTGCCAATGTATTTATGGCAGCTGCTTACTCAGAGAGCATGTTTGCCTTCCTGGCATTCAGTGCCATGTGGCAACTGGAGAAGGGGCAGAGCTGGCTCAGTGGACTGCTCTTCTGCCTTGCTTCTGGGGTGCGTGCCAACGGGCTTATTAACGCTGGCTTCTTTCTCTACTCCCGCGGTAAATGCTTTGCCTTCCAGCTCCAGGTGGGTTCAGGATCGGTAAGGAAGCTCCCTCCGTTCTGGAAGGAACTCCTTAGCGTTGCATCTTCAGCGGTTCTGATGTGTGCTGTCATTTTTCTACCTTTTGCTTTATTTCAGTATTATGCCTACGTGAGGTTCTGTGGTCCTGGCACCAGCCTGGAGCAGACTGTCCCCAAGCCGCTGCTGCAGCTGGCTCTGGACAAGGGTTATCGTCTGGCGGCCACGAACGGGGTTAAACCCCCTTGGTGCTTCCAGCGATTCCCCGTGGTCTATTCCTATATTCAAGATGCTTACTGGAATGTGGGCTTTCTAAGGTATTTTGAGCTCAGGCAGATACCAAATTTCTTGCTTGCTTTGCCTGTCACGCTCCTGGGCTCGTGGGCTACCTGGACCTACATCATTGCGAATCCCCGGCACTGCCTAACTCTTGGTCTAGAGAGAAGAAAGAGTGAAGAAGAGGGTAAGCCAAGAGTTGGATTTTGCTGCCCCGCTGTCTTCGTGTATGTGGTCCATGCCACGGTCCTGCTGGTGTTTGGATTCCTCTGCATGCACGTGCAGGTAGGACGTTCACAGCAACACACGGGAGTGTTTTCTTAAGGGGAATGCAGCGTGGTGGCCGAGGCAGTGACAGTCACAGGGCAATGCAAACCAAAAGCTTTGCCTTTCCTCTTTCGGAGCTACTTCCCCAGAGAGTTTCCAAAGTTAAGGCCAGGCTTGCCAAGCCCTGCTAATTGGCTCTTGGAGGACAAGGTCGTTATCATGTTGGGCTGAGCTTAATGGATGGCAGTGAGAGGATGCAGAGCCTGTCGCCAATCCCTAGAAAGTGTTCAAAGGCCTTTTTAGGACACAGGGGCACTAAAGGTTGGGAGTTCCGGTGAAAAAATAATGGAAGAGTGAGATTCAAGTCTGTCCTGAAGCTGCTGCCCCTGCCCAGTTCCTGAGCAGCGAGGATTGCAGCGAGGATTGCAACGAGATGGTGACAGTGAGCACTGTGCTTGTCCAAAACCTGGAGACCACTTGACTGCTTACACAAATGTCTTAATAAATGAACCAGGTTGAGCTGAGAGGTGTTTCATTTCAATGCAATAAATCCCAGCAGCGTGAATTGGGGCTGTATTTCAGTCCCCTTTATCAGCCATCTGAGGCAGATAGAAACCTGCAATTTATGGGATTTTTGCTCTCCCTGTCACCTTCAGGTGCTGACCCGGTTCCTTGGCTCCTCTTCTCCTGTCCTGTACTGGTTCACTGCTCACCTGCTTCAAGAATACGAACCTTTGCTCTGGAGCGAAGGGATTGATAATCAAACCGCGGCACCTCGCTCCGAGAAGTCTCTTCTAGAGAAATCTGGTTCCTGTGGGCGAGGGACTTCTGAAAACCCCGTTGTGAGGCTGCTGCTGGACTGTAGATTAATCACCCCCCTCAGCAAATGCATTCTTGGATTTTTCCTGTCCTACTGGCTGCTGGGACTGGTTCTGCACTGCAACTTCTTGCCGTGGACGTAGTGGGGGTGTATTGGTACAGACGGGTCGCGGGGCAGAAGCACCGGTTCAGAATTGAAACTTGTTTTTGCTAAAAACCTTGATGTGTGTACAAGGATGCTGTTGTCTTGGTTACAAAGGCGTTACTCCTCAGTTACTACGTATGTACAGAACTGTCACTGCGTGGCCGTGTCCGAAACGGGCGCGTTCTCTTTGCTGTGATGCTACAGCATCCTGCCTAGCTCTCTGCTGTCGTTACGGCCAAAATTCCCGTAAGCTGCCCGGAACAGGGAATGCATCTCGGTTCCTACGTCTTCTGGGGGAGGTGCTGCCACTGAGCAATAATTTATGGCAAGGATCCGTGTCTGTCAGATTCTCATCCGTCGGGAAACCTCCGGGAAGTGTCCTTGACGGCACAGCGGGCATCTTTTTTGCAGGGAGGCTCCTGCTGGCTCGCTCGGAGCCCTCCGGTTCCTTCCCTTCCAAAGCGCTTGCTCTCCCTGGGAGCAGAGGACGGTGGCGAGGCGAAGGGGACCGGCTCCGCCTGTTCCCCCGGGCTTGTGGCGCTGCGACTCGGCGCTCT